TGTTTGTTTGTTTGTTTGCGTACACTCGTGCGTGTATGTGTGTGTATGCGTGCGTGCATGTGTGTGTGTACGTGCATGCAGTGTGTGTACGTGCATGCATGTGTGTGTACGTGCACGCGTGTGTGTGTACGTGCACGTATGTGTGTACGTGCATGCGTGTGTGCGTGCGTGCATGTGTGTATGCGTCACTGATCTATATCCCTGTACTTGTATCTACCTAATCTTGTGCACGTGGCTTTAATCAAAAGATAAATAGGTAATAGCCATGGAATTGATGACGATATTAACTAAGTAAATGCACGCATACTTAGGTAAATATCCAGTTACAAAACTATATTCTGTTCAAATGAAAATGTAAAAAATGCCAAAATAACCCACAGACATCATCAGAATTAATAGTAGATATATTATCATTACAATAATTATAATCACCATCATTATTAATGTTATCATTATTGTCGTTGTTACCACTACTACTACTACTACTTCTACCACCACTACTACTACTTCTAATATAATTATCATCATTACTCTTACTATCATTATTATCATTACAGAAGTTTGTAAATTCACCTTAATAGGTGAATATACAAACTTTAAATTACATCGATCCAGAAGCTTCGCTCTTTTTCTGGCATGACAATATTTGAAAATGGAAGCATAAATTTGATGATTATTAAGCATTAACATTTTCGAGAGGATATGAAAATATATCAGACATGGATCTCATTCTGACCAGAGTCAAGGAAAATTGCATAAGGTAAATATGCAATTTGCATAAGGTAAATATAACCTTGATTTCTAAAAGGCCAAATGCATTTGTAATATGAAATTCTTTTAGGGAGAGCTACTCGGTGGAGGCTAATGTTAATAATTCAATATCGGCAGCAGAAAAGTCCAGAAATAGTCTATGGTCTGTCGTTACTACTAACTGGTTATTCCATCCGTTATAGCTCTTACACCTTTTTACTTGCTCTCTGCTTGTTGCTTATTTAATGACAGTTATGTGATATATACGAAATGTAGCTCACTATCTGTTGTGCTGTTAATCTCGTTAGTTTATGTTTACACTCTTCAACTTTTTTGATGGTTCTGTAATCAGACCACGGACTGAAATGGTGCAGCTTTTTTGCCGATGATATGAACATTACACGTCGACTCTCGAACGGTGCATCCACTCTACAAACTGAACTGTATGCCATTTAGATAGCTCTAACGCACGCGATAGTTACTACACATTCAACCATTCAAATCTCCATAGACTCTCTCAGCTTTGCAAATCCTTAAAAAAGCCCAAGCCACTGATAACCTCAGGCTAGTTATAATTATTCTCTTTTAAATCCAGCAATTGGAGAAACAGGAAAAGATCCCTCCCTTATGGTGGGTATCCAGCCATGTCAACATCACTGGCAATGACTCAGCTGCTGCTGCTAGAAATAGTCTAAAATTCTCCTCGGTCAATGGTAACATTCCACCAAACCTCAGCCAGTTGAAAAGACATGTCAGGAAACCCTCATTTGGAAGTTTTACTCATAGAACACCGTGCATGGGTAGTTGCTAGATCCCCGTCAGCGAGCTGGTACAAGACAGTTACCGACTACAATCCCCCATTCTCAGTCACCACTCTTTCCAGGACCACTGATGCCATCTACCACAGGCTCTGCTTAGGGTACAGATACAGTTGGGAGATTGACCTAAGAATTCCCGAGCCATGTGCGTTATGCGCCATAATGACACAAGAGCCTCTGAGCCACTACATCCTAGACTGCCTTAGTATCCAACAGTTATAGCCTCAGCAGTACCTGACCGAAGAGATCAAAGACATTTCACATATACAGCTGCCAGATTCCCTTCAGGTCTTTACCAAGGTGACTAGTTGAGAGAGAGAGAGAGAGAGAAAACGGACTTATCACTCCAGACAGGCATCATCAACACCTTCACAGTTACTTATAGTGTTATACAGTTATTACATATTAATTGAAATATGTCAAAGGAATATCATTCAGAATATGATATAGTCCATGCTGAAATATCTATTTTCTTTGGTCATGTAGAATACGTTTTCATTCCTTTGCATTCATAGATGCTTATATAGTTGTGACTTTATTGTATATCTGTGAATGGATACATAATTATTTGGGGTAAACAGTCCTAACGGGAGCCACCTTGCCGAGGTCCCAATGATCTGGTGGACCAGAGTGCTACCCATACTGGAGGGGTCCCAGTGAGGGATGAGACAAAATGGCTTCCTGGTGCACCAAGGCCTATGAGAGGGGATGGTGCACCAACCCCTGGTTTATTCCATCTTGGACCAGGGAGAACTCTCCCATGTGTGTTTGCCATGCATGGAGATTAAATGATGCTGCATGCTGCGCCCTACAGCTAGCAAGACACCTCTTTGGTCTTCTATTCTGGTTAGACGGGTGGCTTGATCAAGGCCCAGTCAAGTCATTCGGCTGGTCAAATATGGCTAGGATCAAGTAGGCACTATCCAATCAGTAGTGTATAGGTCCTGTAGCTGTTGGGAGACTTTCAGTCCCAACTATAGCTTCCCCTTGTTGGACTACATGGTGGTTGGGGGGGGAGGGGGGAGGAAATGAAGATTTCTAATTTGAATGTTTTCTACAAATTTACAAAGAACTTGCTCTCTCCCTGACAACCTACGCAGTGAGGATTTTCCGTATCAAATGATATCTCACTGGAGAGGTCCCAAAAGATCCTGTTGGACCTCTTCAATAGGATCTACAGAGAGGGCACTGTGCCATCCACATGGAAAGAGGCCATAATCATTCCTGTCCCTAAACCTGGCAAAGATGCCAATTTCTCTCACCAGCTGCCTCTGCAAGCCGATGGAGAAACTGGTAAATTTCAGGTTGACATGGCTGCTAGAAAAGGAAAATATGCTGACCCCATATCAATATGTGCTTGGAAAATTGAGATCGACCACAGATGCACTTGCGAGGATGGTAACAGCTATACAGAATTCCTTTGCATAGCGAAATCACATATCTTTGACCTTGAAAAGGCTTACGATACTACTTGGAAGCATGGCATACTCATGAAGCTGTATGATATTGGTTTAAAAGGAACATTACTTAACTTCATACAAAGCTTCTTTGCTTTCAAGAAGTTTAGAGTGAGGGTGGGAAGTAGTTTCTCTAACCTGGAAGATCAGCTGGAAGGGGTCCCACAAGGGGGTGTCTTAAGTGTGATCCTGATTGCCAATGCTATAAATAACAAAGGTTGTTCCAAGTGCTGTCCCATGTAATCTGTATGTGGATGACTTTACACAGTACTGCTCAGGAGGAAGCTTACAGGATGTGCAAGGACATATGCAGACGGCAATAAATCAGGTTGTATAGTGGGCAACATACCATGGCTTCAAATTTTCTCCAAGCAAGACCATGGCTATGCATTTCCACAAACGAGGAAAGTTCCATCCTTCCCTCTATTTAGGAGCACACCCACTGCAATTTGTCCAAGAGGTGAAGTACTTGGATCTATTTTTTGACTCAAGGCTTACATGGGTGCCTCATACCAAACAGTTAAAGGTTACAAAAGTGCTTAGTATTTTGAAACCCAGCATCAAGAGTTAGAAACAAACTGCATTCCAACGAAAAGTAGTATTAACAAGACTAAAAATTGGTCACACAAGACTGACTCGCGGCCGATGATGGCTAAAAGTGAAGCACACTATGAGGAATGCCAAGAGCCATTAACGGTCGCACATGTAGTGAAAAGATGTGCAACGTTCTCAGACCAGAGAGGAAGGTACTTATCTCCCCCACATACACAGAGAAATGTCTGTCTTATTAGATTCCCAAGGGAGACTAATATGTTCAATAAAATTTAATTATGCATAAAGTCTATGCAATAATTTTATACATATAGAGCATAATATTTACGCTTTGATTTTTTATATAATATTTATTGATAGGTTTTAACATTTTAAATATTTTAACATTTCAATCTAACAAAGTGTTCGCCGTTAATGACCTTAGCTGTTGACGCCGCAGATAATTTTAAATAATCAATCAATCATTTGGGGTAAGGTAAAATTAGTTAATATGAAATGTATTAGTAATAGCTACAATGGCTTAAAGGAAGTCGAGTTAGGTTTAGCTTGAACGTCTGCAGGTTGTCAGCGGATCATGGTGGCTTGGTTGGATGTAAGGAATTGTATAAGATTTTATAAGGCTTGCTCTTGCTTTGAATTTACTTGTCATGCCTAGTTAGTGCACCAGCAGAATAGTTGAGAACTTTAGTTTATTTTTCATGTTACATGCATTATTGTCCAATCAACATATATTCTATAAATGTGTATGATCACGTGTCATGGTAAATACCAACAAATGTGGTCATGCTTTCTATTCTTGCCTCATATTAATTTTATTTATACTTTGGTATTATTGGAAGAGACACACCACACCTAAAAATCAGAATCTGAGTTTTCCAAGTAGTAGAACACATCATTCCATGTAAGTTTTATTTAATAGCAATTTCTTCGCAAATTGATAACAGTAATAAAAAAAATGTCAAATCCAGGAAACGCAACAACCTTACGCCTCCAAAACGTCGTTGAAAGCGACGGAAAATCGGACGGATTCGTAGTGGATGATGTAGGCGAGGGAAATCAAATGAGCCATCTAGTTTTGCGCTGGAACGTGACGTGACCATAGGCAGTGACGTCCAACAATGTGTCGGGTGTGATGTTATTTCAATTCCATTGCAAAATGTTATCGAAATACCGAAATCACGGTGTACCGCCTGTGGAAGTACTGTGCCCGAACTGTAAGATACCGTGTCAATCCAGAACAGACAGATACCAGTCCATCAACAGTTCTTCGTCGAGGCCGCGCAACGAGCCCTCCACTGTGCGATAGGGAGCGGCGGGCAGCGATCGCGATTCCCGCCAACAACGACCTGGGGGACGATCCCACTGACTAAAAGTTAATGCTTAAGGGAAGGTGTGGGTGAAACTGTTACTGGGTCTGGGCTCT